CATCGGAGATCTCGCTCTCGCACGAAATATCATGAGCGTCGCAGACGTTCATTATCAACCCGATTAGCATCTTCCTATCGAAGGCATCCTAAATGTTGGTTCCATGCGAAATTCGGTGTCAACGCCAAAAGGTGTGTTCGCCCATGTGATTTCCAGGCGGAAAACATGAAGGGCAGTCGTTAATGGCGACTGATGATTGCCTAAGTTCTACTGGTCGTCTCTTTGTCACGGACCGAAGAACGAAAATGCAGTTCCTGGTCGACACGGGTAGCGACCTCTATGTTTTCCCTCGTGTATGGCTTCCTGAGCGGCGTACGAAGACCACCTACCAACTCTGCGCAGCCAACGGGAGTGTCATCAACAAGTATGGTTATGTACACCTTATTCTTGATCTTGGCCTTCGTAGAGACATTAAATGGCGTTTTGTAGTTGCCGATATAACAAAGGCTATTATTGGTCTTTCTCTCTTTTTATAATTTAATTGTAGATTGTCGTAATCACCGCCTTGTAGATAATACCACAACTGTTTCTTTCAATGCTTTGTATGTTAAAAATTTAGATGCTGTTTCGTCCGTTAAGATTGCGACTGGTGACACGAGGTACCATGATATTCTAGCCGATTTTCCAGAAATAACACATCCGGGGAAATCCGGGGATGCGATGCAACGTAACATTCCACATAACACCGTACATCACATTCGCACTACACCAGGTCCTCCTATTTCATGCTCTCCCAGGCGTCTTGCCCCGGATAAATTAAAAATCGCGAAACAAGAATTCGAGTCAATGCTTGCTAGCGGTATCGTCAGACCATCAGAGAGTTCATGGGCCTCTCCCTTACATTTAGTTCCCAAAAAAGAGAATGGCTGGCGACCCTGTGGCGATTATAGGTTGCTTAATGCTAGGACTATTCCTGATAGGTATCCCATAAGGCACATCCATGACTTTACTCACAGCATCGCAAAGGCCTATAATCAGATACCTGTCAGTGAATTAGACATACCTAAAACCGCGATTACTACACCATTTGGTTTATACGAATTCAAGTATATGAATTACGGGTTGCGTAATGGAAGTCAAACCTTCCAAAGGTTCGTGGATGAGATCACGCGTGGTTTAGATTTTTGTTACTGTTACCTGGATGACTTTTTAATATTCTCGAGGAGCGAGTCAGAGCACGAGGAGCATTTACGCCAGATATTTAACCGACTGAAGGAGTATGGGATGTTGATCAACACCTCTAAATGTGTTTTCGGTGCGTCGGAAGTAACATTTTTGGGTTATAAAATTTCCGCCAAAGGTATTAAGCCTCTCCAGGAGAAAGTTCAGGCGATTAAAGATTTTCCTTCGCCCAAAAACGTTCGCCAGCTCAGAAGATTTCTGGGCATAATAAATTTCTACCGGCGATTTTTGCCTAATGCTGCGCGCATTCAAGCTCCCTTAGATGCATTGCTTGCAGGAGCCACAAAAGGTTCACAACCAATAAATTTAACAGGAGGCGCTAGTAAGGCTTTTGACGATTGTAAGCTAAGCCTATCTCAAGCAGCTTTACTAGCTCATCCTGACACATATTCCAAGCTCGCTCTTGTTACTGACGCCTCACATATAGCTTTGGGTGCGGTATTGCAGCAGTACAAAGACGGCACGTGGCAACCGCTTGCGTTTTTCTCACGCAAAATGAGTTCTGCGCAGCAAAAATATTCGCCATACTCGCCATATTCGCCATAGAGAGCTCCTTGCCATCTATGAGGCCATTAAGTATTTTCGGCATATGTTAGAGGCGAGACATTTTATTGTCTATACCGACCACAAGCCTATCAGTTTTGCTTTCCGCGAGAGGAAAGGCAACTGTTCGCCTAGGTAGTATAGACATCTAGACTACATTTCACAGTTCACGACCGCCATAAGGCATATATTTGGTAAAGCCAATGTTGTTGTCGATGCCTTATCTCGAATTGAAGAACTGCAAGCGCCCGTCAATCTCAGTACATTGGCCGAAGCTCAAGCATCAGATCTCGAACTGGCTGAACTTCTCAAAGGTGGATCATCCCTTCGCTTAGAGAAGTATGACATTCCTGGGTGTAGAACATGCATGTACTGCGATGTCAGTACACCGACTCCCAGACCATTTGTCCCTAAAGTGCTGCGCAGACAAGTTTTTGAAAGTCTGCATTCTTTGAGCCATCCAGGCGCGAACGCTACAGCAAAACTAGTTGCAGAGCGTTTTGTGTGGCCTAGCATCAGGAAGGACTGCAGAGAGTGGTCACGTGCCTGCTTGGCTTGCCAACGTGCCAAAGTGACGCGACACGTATCTGCGTCTTTAGGCACATATAACCTACCGCGTGCAAGGTTCAAGCACGTCCACATCGATCTTGTGGGGCCTCTGCCTCCATCGCAAGGCTTTCGATACTGCCTCACTGCAGTCGATCGCTTTACACGACGGCCAGAGATCGTACCTATCGTAGACATAACTGCGGAAACCGTTGCCAAAGCACTGCTGTCTGGATGGATAGCTAGGTACGGCTGTTCAGTAGACGTTGATACAGATCGCGGTCGACAGTTCGAATCCGCTTTGTTCCAATATTTATCGAAGATAAATGGGTTCCAGCATAAAAGAACAACAGCTTACCATCCGGCATGCAATGGTTTAATAGAGCGTTTCCACAGGCAGCTCAAGGCAGCGATCATGTGCCATGCAGATGATCATTGGACTGAATCTTTACCTTTAGTTCTTCTTGGCATTCGTAGTGCATTTAAGGAAGACTTGCAGTCTTCGTCTGCCGAACTGCTTAGGCTACCTGGTGAATTTTTTGACCCCACCATAAAGGTTACGTCGGATATAACCGATTTTACAGCCAGGTTGCATAATTTTGTTAAACATTTGCAACCTGTCCCAGCTTCACGCCATACAAAAGAAAAAACTTTTGTATACAAGGATCTCGCAACTACTGAACACGTCTTCTTAAGAGAAAACGCTTCGCGTACGAGTTTGCAACCTGCGTACTCAGGTCCGCACAAGGTACTCGCCAGAGGAGATAAGGTATTTAAACTCCTGGTAAAAGGCAAAGAGATGAATGTCTCAATCGACAGACTTAAACCGGCTTACATTTTAGCTGACGGTAGCAGCTACAGTCCCATTCAGGCCGCTTCCTCAGAGAATATTAAAGGGTCCCATCCGGGTCCAATTACAAGGTCTGGACGCCGTGTTAGATTCCCGGACTATTATCGACCATGACCATAAGATGGCCTCTGGGGGGGGGGGGAGTGAATGTAGGCTACTTTCCTACATTATACACACACACATATACCACACAGATACACACATACATACTCTCTCACACTCAACATATACAATACTTTTACACGACTATATATTACACCACTATATACTCTCAACACAATGCAAGTAACAACAGCCGGGCGTTGAACGCGCCGCCCGGAATTCCGTTAACACAGCTGGCAAAAGGATCGCCTGCGTCCGCGCACCGCGTTCACCAGTCGTTCTACCGATACGACGCGGAACGCATGTTGCTCGCTAACGCTAATCCCTTGTTCTCGCCATAGACTTTAAGTATTACGGTTAATATTGATTGTGCTTTTGCTAGACTGTATTTTTATTATAAACTCTTTTATCTTGGCTTGTGTATCTTCTGCTTGTTTGTGCTAAATTGTGTATCTCCTGCTTGTGTGTATTAAAGTAAACATTTTAATTGTCAGTGTTGTGGAATTATTTGTATAGACTATTTATCTCGCTATAAACTTATGTGTTTCTGTAGCCTATAATAATGCGAATATAGATACAGATATCGAGGTGTCTTTACAAGTGATCCGGTTTTGCTAATGTTAGTACGAAATAGTATTATCTATGTTTCTAAATTCAAGCCCACTCGAGCGAAGCCGCGTGTAAAAAGCTAGTATTTAATAAAGCAAACGTGCATGCTACTTCTATTGTTTGCCGGTTGAGGATTGGACACGCCTGTAACGATGCTCACCTAGCTAAACTTAGGATTAGGGACAGTTTTCTGTGTGAATGTGGCTTAGATGAGGGAAACACAAACCATATATACTTTAACGGCACCAAAGTGTCATCATCTCTATACGATTGTCTGCCCCTTGATATTTCATCTCCCATAGGTTTTAACTCCCTTCTATCATTCACAAATACCATTTTGTATATATTTTATCCGATTTTATTAATTTTAACAATATTAAACTGTAATTTGTTTGTCATATATAATAGGTAGTATTATTCTAACAAGATTGTTTGTCTTTTGTTTTAGGTAATTCAAAAGATAAGTTGGCCAAAATCGTAGACAGAGAAACCCATAGACAAATTGACGCCTTCTTTTGCACACGAAAAAGATAGATTTATGCATACGTCTTTCATAGAAATGAGACAGAGCGGTGTGATTGTTTGTCCCTTTCTCCGTGCCGGTTTTTTGTTTAGCAAACTACACTTTGCTAAACAACTTTGAGAGTTCGTAGCAATCTAAGGAGTTTACAAGTAGGTTTAAGTGAGAAAAAAAAGTTTTGTGAGCTTAAGATTGGTGAATCTTGTTCAGTTCAGTACTTAGAACATTTAAAATATTTATCTAAAAATGTTTAAAAGTCATAAAGGTTATTGTATAACCTAAAACTACGTTATTGTCCTTTCTCATTCGAGGCCACGCTAATCATTAGTCTATAGGTTTCTCTGTCTACGGCCAAAATCAATCACATAATATTGTTGTTACACTTTATTGTATTATCTATTTCCCTTTTTTTATGCAGAATTTGTGTCCCAATTAAACCTTTTCGCATGTAATATGTCATTAGCGAATTCATTGTAACCGCCACAAAGGAAGAAGAAAAATAAGAATATTTACAAACTAAATGTCACTCAGATTTCAAATTAATAGTTAAAGGGAAAGAGTATCTTGCGTCAACATTCAAATAAAAGAAACATTATAACTGAGTTACAGTCACATAGTTCTTAGCCATTTTAAACGTTGTCGTTTAAAATGGCTAAGAACTATGTGAGTAATTTTCGTGGTGAAAGTTTGTTGACTCCTAATGGAAAATATAATGCACCCAGCAAAAGTTCTGTATCTGACGCTTCCAGCAAAATTACTGCATCTAATGCTTACTTGGACAATAAGGAGAATAATTTCAAATTTGAATCCCGTCCTGCTCTTGTTTTATATAAAGCACCTTTTAAACCTACCCTTCCAACAACCCAAATAGTTGAACCAGTTTCATTCGACCTAGCTACAGAAAAAAGGGCTGCAGAAAGGGAAAAGTTTGAGCGCCGTTTGAAAGAAAAAGATGAAAAAAATGAGAGATTAAGACAGCAAAAAGAAAGAGAACATAAGGAAACCGAGAAGAGAGTACAAGCAGAACTAAGAGCTAAACTTATTCATCATGCTAAGCCTATACCAACAGTAGGATTATTTATACCTGAAAAGTCTTCGAAACCTCTTACTGTGTCTGAAACACTGAAATTTGTTAGACGATTTAAACAAAACTAATGAACAATTTGCACGCGTTTTTGTAAAAATGACTTTTATTACGGATTCAATTTATTATTAAAGTAGTTATGGTACTTTAGAAATTTCGAAAGGGGAATGTCCACTCTTCATAGACACTTCGGCCATGAGTGCCCACATATAAAAGCATATAGATATGATAATATGCAATTAAAACAATGAAATGGTAAAGGAATTGCTTTAAAAAACATCGGGGTTTTGAAAATATAGAAGTTTTTATTTTCACAAATGCAGTTTTTTAACAACTATTTTTATCGATTTTATCGCGTTTTATTTCTTTGATTTTTAATTCCAGACGTTTTGGGTGCTTTCCAGCACCCATGGTTACGGCAGACTGAGGTGACTGACGTCCAATTTCAGTGTTAACCCGGAGTACCTTCAGATTTTAAATTTTTATTTATGGTCCGATCTACAGAATGAACTTACTGTGTCTTGAAGTCTTGCAGTGGTATGCTTGGGTTTAATTTTAATTTCATTAATTACAGGGTCCTAAGCAGGTGGTAGTACCAAGCCTCCTTCTCTATTGAATAAAGAATTTTTTTATTTCAATAGTCTCATGTATCGTCCTTTTAGAGGATTTGTGGTCTATCAAATCTTTTTTTGATGTCTAGCTAGTTGGGCCCGTCCAGAATATGATCACAAACTGCAAACTTCCCTGAACTTTGATGCTTCACGTCAGCGACGTCACGCTTCAAGATGTAGCCAATCTTGTCTGTGACACCCCTGACAAATGCTACTACTGCACATGCTTTACTGTGGCCGGCTTCACTCGGTCACTGTGACGTAAGCGCGGGCCCGAAGCTTGTTGACGTGCTGAACCTGCTTGACGTGCTGAAGCTCGACAGCCAGATGTTTGCTGCCACAGATCCCTTGTGCTCTCTGTAACAAAGATTTGCTCACGGTAACTAACTGTGAAGGATGATGGTGAGATTCATTGTTTTCTATACACAGTGTGACCTATGGTGTTGTTAGAATTTTGGATGACTAACGCATCTAGGAAAGCTAAGGAATTATTTGCCTCTAATTTACACATCAATACATCATTCAGGAACTGAGCAGGAAGCAAAATATTAGTCTGATGCCGTGCCAACCCAAATACCATATTACTGTCATAACATGGGCACAGCATCTAACAGTTCGACGACCGACAGTACTTTTTAATTGCACTTCTACCAGAACCATTGCCACTAATTAAAATATATATAAAATACACTTTACGACTAATGGAGATGACTTGCAATTCTAGCCCTAAGTAAAGATCAGCTAGGGCTTAAGTTTATTTCTTCCATAATGCTGCTCCTCTAGTTATTACAGAGTTCTATCCGGTAGCAACCATTAAATCTTATATGCTCACCATAATAGTAGCGAGCTTGCTTTAATTGGCATGTGACACAAGCAATTAATATTAAGTCGCTGTAAGTTAAAACAGGAAATTCCCTAACATTTTATAATTTATAATTTATTCAGATAGAAAGTGATACAGAGTAGTAGTCAAACAATGCATCTTATATACTAAATATGTTCTTAAAAATGAACTTGCTTCCTAAGTTAGGGTAAACCCTGTGTTTTAGGTTAAGCAAAGCTCTTCCCACTTACATAAAACCTTAAATAAGATACACAAAATATAATGAAATAATACAAATGACACAAAAAGAGAAAAAAAAATATAAATATAGATCCTTAGAATTTAAAAGACATGCACAGATGAAAATAAAAAAAAAATTTAGCAGAGAAGTAACAAATCGACATTTATGAACACTTATGCAAGTACTGTTAACAAATTCTCCGTTTCTTCATAAGACTTTAGTTGAAGCCATTTTCTGAGGGCAATGTTGCAGTCATGCTTATTCATATAGTATATATGAACAATTTTGTTTACTTTATTATATAAATATGGGCCAAGAAAGCAAAAATATTTTTTTATAAATTTTGTGTTGGGCTTAAAACTGGACTTAATCACAATGTCTTTACGACGTTTACATTTGATTTTGTCAGGGTCATAGTTTAAACACTGATGCTGTTTTTTTATAACATTTAGAACAAATAGTTGGCGAACAGTTAGTACTTGGCAGTTATTGTAGAGTAATATTGTAGGATATTGAAATGGTTTAAAAGTGGAGACCTTTAAAAGCGCTCTTTGAGCCCTTTCTAAAGAAACCATGTGCGTTTTTAGAGCCCCACCCCAACAAGAAATGCAATAAGTTAACAAGGATTCACACAGAGCAAGATACAGCTGTTTCAAAAGATATGGTTGCACTACATGTCTTAGATTTTTAAAAACATATATAAGTTTGCGGATACGATTTTTTAAATGTTGAATATGGTGTTCAAAAGATAGATTTTTGTCTAGAAGGATACCCAAATACCTGACAATCTCAACTCTTTCCAATAACGGACATCGGCAGGAAGTGAGAGAGCTAGGATTTTTTAAAATACAGCTATGTGCACGTAGAGAGAAATCGTTTCCTGGTTGCGTCACATCACGAATGGAAAAGGTCAGATATTTGGTTTTCTCCGCATTTAAAGTTAATTTATTAGAGCACAACCACCTTTGTACAGTATTAAATGAATTTTGGGCAGCTTCAAAAGTTTTTTTTCCAATCACCCTCTGCAAAAAGTAGCACAGTATCATCTGCATAACAAATAGACTTTCCAGAGATGAGCTTCATTTGACAGAGATCATTAACATAAATTGTGTATAAGGTGGGCCCCAGTATACTGCCCTGAGGTACACCGTAGGTCACTGGTAAATCTGAACTTCTGTGATTACTAATTTTAACACTTTGCAATCTATTTTTCATGTAACTCTTAAATAAATTTAACTGCTTTCCACGTACACCAAGCCTTTTAAGCTTTTCCAGCAAGATAGGCACAGAGACCGTATCAAAAGCTTTCGCTAAATCTAGAAAGATCGCTAAACATCGTCTGCCTTTGTCCAAGTTTTCTGATATAAACTTAATTACGTCAAGCATAGCACCATCTGTGTTTTTACCAGATCTAAAGCCATATTGGTTTTTAGCGAGTAGATTGTTCGTCTCTAAATAGTTGATAAGGCGTTTATTTATTATTTTTTCTAATAATTTGGACATAGCCGGGAGTAAAGCTATAGGTCTATAGTTAGTAACTTGATCTCTGTCCCCCCCCTTTGTGTATAGGGATTATAATAGATTTTTTAAAAGCTTCGGGAAATACACTATATTCCAAGCACCTATTAAAAATATGCGTTAATATCGGTACCAGTATATTTTTATTATTTTTTAGAAAAACATTTGAAATATTATCCCATCCAGTGGAGCAATTGTTTTTGAGATTCATGATAAGTGATTCAATTTCAGATTCATCAGTATTCAACATAACGAAAGAATTACTAGAAGTCGACATGTCTCTTGAGTCGGTTAAATGATCAGTATCTGCGGTTTTTTCAGCTAAATGTTTTCCAATGTTAACAAAGTAATTATTTACACTATCAACGGCTAAATCAGCTGTTGCATAAGACTGCAACAGTTCGTCAGCCGCTGATTTAGGTTTATTAGTATAGGTTATATTTTTTAGAACATTCCAGAGCTTCCTTTTGTTATTACCAGCACGTAAAATTAATTCACTTTCATACTTTCTTTTAATATTTTTAAGTAAGTTATTACAAAAACACTTATACCTTTTGTAAGTTATTTGTATGGTGTTGTTGTTTGGGTGTTTTTTGGCTTTCTTAAAAAGGTTATCTCTATTTCTAACACATCGAAGTAAGCCTGATGTCATCCAAGGTTTGATAATCCTAATTCGGTTGGCGTATATACAAATATCAGTGTTTTTGTTATGTAGTTTAGTGATTATCTCAATTAACCGATTTACGGCGACGTCAGGATCATCAATATCATAAATAAAACTGAAATCTGTGTTTATCATATCCTTATTGAGGTTAGAGTGATTTAATTTAGAGTAGCTGTTAGTTTTTGGTTGAGAAGTGGGATCAAAATTAAGACAAAGTAAAACAGAGCTGTGGTCGGTAATATCAGACTGGATGATCAACGTTAGAGCGGGCTTTTTAGTTTTTAATAATACGTGATCGATACAAGTTTTGCTAACAGGTCTAGTAATCAAATAATGTGCTGGCATAAGACCATAAAATGCCGTCAAATTAAGATATTTTTCTGTATGTGTATCCATATTACTCGTTGAGATGTCGAAATTTATGTCTCCCATGATAACGACATTTTTAAACAATACCACCGATTCTAAGACTTGTTCCAAAGAGATGATAAATGAATCTGGGCTATTATTTCTTGAAGGGGAACGATATATGGCAATGATTGCGAGATCTACTCCTTTTTTAATTACTAAACAGCTTGCGCCCGTAAAATAAGGTTCCTCAACCGTGACACCGAGACTATTTCTTACATAAACTGCGACACCATCATTTTGGTTAAAACATTTTTTGTTAGTATATCCAATATAATTGTCTAAAGTGGGGATATTTGGGTTACATAATAGCCAGCATTCGGTAAGTATAATTATGTCGCAAACAATTTTGGTTCTTTCCAAAAGCAAAGCAAAATTATCAAAATTACAACCTATACTTTGTATATTTTGAGTTATAATTTTAAGGTAATTTTCAGTTTGAGGCACATGTGATTGGCAAGAGTCAACGTCTATTGAAACTGCTCTAGATACCTCAATGGAGTCAAGATCACCAAAAACTGCTAATTCGTCGAAAACGCGTAAAAGCAATATAATGAACCGTAATTTTTGTATACCTCTTCGATATTGAGATATAATGTGTGACTACAGAAGTTAGTTAAATATGATAAAAGTGACTCAAGCATTAATAAATAAAGGTCTCTAATTAAATCACAGTTAATCGAAATGGCTTCCTCATTATTACATTCACGTCTTGGTATCAATCTAAAACAGCACTCATCGTAATTAAGTAAATTAAGCCCTTGACAGATATATTCCTTAAATTCCATATGTACAATATAAAAATAACTTTTTAATAAATTTTGTACCTGCAGCATTGCAAAATTAATACAATTTTCATACAAGTCCAAAAAAACAATATGGGATGTGTTATCACCCGTATAATATAAGATATAAAATTTTAACAGTTTTTGTAAGAAGCATGCATCATATAGTAGTTTATTATAGTTACTTAGATATTGAGTTTTTGAGACTCTGAAGTTCCTTCTCATGGTCCACCCGTACATAAGGTTGTTTCTCGTCCTTACGCAGATAGATAACGCCCCTCGAGGTCCAACAGTACGTGAAATTATATTCCTTGGCAAATTCGCGGGCAACAAAAAATAATTTCTGCGTTTTGTGTGTTAATGCCTCAGAAACATATATTGGCTTACTAGTACCCGGTAAATTTAGGTGACTTGTATTAAGCTTTTCTCCTTTTCCCTTATTACGATTAAATTCTTTTATAGCATTTAATAGGGCTTCTTTTTTTATGACGCTGTTTAAGTCCAAAATAATAGGACGAGACGTTTCATGTTTGGAGGGTATGCGATAAACATCCCTTATATCTGATTCTTGAAGACTGCAGTTCACTGCCTTCGCCAAGATCTTGACAATATCGCATAAATCAGTTTTGGACTCTGGTCTATTATTCTGCTGATAAATTCTTGGCGTGTTTCGTATTTCTACAGCTGTAGCTCGTGATCTCTTTTCCAAAAGCTCAATTTTGTCCTCCAAAGTCTGAATTGTTTTTTTGTCGTTTAAACGTTCTTCCTCCATCGTTTTTAATTTTTCAAATAAGTGGTCATACTTTTCACTCATAAAACTCAGACTTTTTTGCGTGTCACAGTTTTGATCGGCGATTTGATTTATTGAAACATGCAGTGCTGCAAAGCGCTTTTCAATTTTAGTAGAGAAGGACGAAAATAAATCTTCTATAAAAGATGTAGTGGACTGAGAAAATTCTTGGCTGCCGCCCTCTAAGTCAAATTTACGCTTAACGCGTTTCGTTACAATATCGTCGCACGCTAAATCATTAAGTGACAGAGCCGTACGTGTAAGTTGCGATGGTGAGTCACGAAATTGATCTGTACTATGGGCCGCAACGGCGTCGGATTCGCCGCTTGTTTGACTGAACACCGGGGAATTCATCGTAGCGGTAGCGGGGCCGACGGGGGGCTGCAACGCGGAGCGGGCCCGTTGCGTTGCGGAGGCGGAGGTCTTGGGGGGCGTGCGCCTGAGAGACATTGTTGATTGACGGGTACTAGGCACGCAGAACTCAGGTAAAGTAGAATGAATCGTGCGTAGCTTCGTAGCAGTACCTAGGAGCCAACTCGTAGCACGCTACGACACTTTTGATGTTTGCTACACAATGTGCGGGACTAGAACAATATGACACAATACTTTCGAACACTTCTCAGATTATGCACTCCTAGTATCGCACCTCGCCCTTAAACCACTTTAAATTTAATTATTTGACTAAATATAATTAAAATAAATCGGATCTTGTGTACACGAGCACTCTGTATGCGGTCCGGAAGGGAAGAAGTTTTAAAGTCTACATTTATATTTCTAAAGTCTGCTTGCCCTAGCTCTATTTAGATTGTTTTCCCTAGCATACTCAGACAAATCATTATTTGTCTCCATATTTTGGTGAACAATTTCAAGTATTTGAGCCGCATCATCCCTGTCCCTTATTTTTGTGTGGAATTTACTAATTATAGCAGCAGCCACAGCAGTCTATCATCAAATGTGTAGAAGCCCTGTTAAAGTAATTTTGATAAAATATTTTAAATTCAGTTTTTAAAATGTCATTTACCACCTCTACTACCCATATCGACACATAGTCACAGCTCTGGATTTATTAGCATATCTTGTCATTAACTGAGATTCACCATCTGCTGGAGACATTACTGCGACCCTTAGACATCCACATCTATCCTCGATTACAAATCAAAATGCAGATGCGTTGTCACCCGTGAGGACTAAGATCATTTTCTCGTTTCCAGTAAAAAGGGTCTCTGGTTGTCTACACTCACCATACAAAACACAGCAGCATTAAGCTACTATTTCACGCTGGTATTCTGTGAGAGTGTGGTCCTTCCCCGGTCGTGCTGACCCATTCATGCTACAACTATACTTCTAATATAAGTGCAGCATGGCTCTACCACGTATAACACACATACATAGTAATTGTCACTATGTATGTTTGTTATCGCAAAATGTAGTTAATCACAAAAGAGACATACTCGCAATGCTGATGGAACTGTTACAACCAGATAAAAAACATTGGGCTTTTAAATAATTAGTTAGCAGTACACTGTGTGATGTATGATCTAAGCTTTGTTGTTCTGGGTGCAATACATTACTCACTTCAGATTGCAACAAGGACGGACTAGATGATTCAGATGGTTCCCATTCTGCAGTTGAACGTGATGCTGTTCTATCAGTTCATTGCCAGCAATTATGATATACACGGCATGACAACGGCAACTGAAATAATGTAAAATACAAAAAATGAAGTCAAAGAGAAAAAATAAAATAGATTTGTTTATATCAAACTCAAATATAAATAAAATATTTATCAAGTTAAATGTTACTGGACAAAGACGGATTTAATGCCCTATATTATTTAACAATTAAGGCCTGACAGACTACCAGCAGTCCAAAAACAATGAAAAATCAACTGTCTCCTTTCTTGGTAGTTGATAAAAATGGTCAATCTCATAAATAAGCTAGTATGTTTGTCAGATATAGCTAGTGCAGATGTGAAAAAATAAAACAAGTTCTTGAGTTGATATACAATCAGTGTAAAAACATGTATAATTATCAGATATGAGGATCACATTTAATATATTGAAAAATGCTAAACATCTTACCTTATCTTAACTCACGTGACACAAATTGTTCCTCACGTGGAGAATCGAACTCAAACAATGTGTGTGATCTTATTCTTATAAGTGTCAGTGCCACAGCTGATGTATACATGTTCAAGACGAACTATTGGTGCATTTTGCGAGTGGCACACTACACGTTCACTGTACTCGAAACTTGTACCTAATAAAGAAGCTACAATTATTATATTGATATTATTCAAGTAAACTCAGTTATATAGCATTTCTTAGAGGAAAACATGCCACTTCGTGATATGTACCAACTATTTACCTGCTGTGTTCGAACCAATTGTTGAGAGATCAACAATTGCATTTTCCAACAAAACAAAATAACACGCAATTAAATTCTTGTGACATAACAGTGACAGGGGCCTACATGTCAGATTCGATGTTGCCACTTAACTGTCATAAAATCTATGAAACGATATCGATTTTTATTCGATTAATAATATCATGAAAAGAATAATCTTTGACGCGTTTTAAGTTCTGCACGCTTTTTTAAAATATAATTTCATTTATTTATTGAAATTCTATTTCAAATGTATTTTTAGGAACAGTTAGCTTGTGCTGTATTGTTTTGTTATGCTTTAGAGAACTCGTGGTAAATCGGCTAGAAATTAACTTCTTGAATTATCATAACATGATTCCATTTTAAATGTTATGTTAAAAACAGATAAGAATAACAGTTAACTTGTGCAGTAGCGTTTTGTTATACTCTAAAGAATTCTTGGTAAATCAGCTAGTAATTCGCTTGTTTAATTATCATAACTATAAATGTGAAGGTTGTCAATGAATTCAACCGCGCCTATAACAACGGTTGTTTTAGTTTTTAACGGTTGACTACCGCTTTTGATGACTTGAAATGGATAAAAACCCATTTTGTGCAATAAGTTATTTCTCTTTGGTAATGAATAAACCACAGAAACTCCTATAATGTATAATAATCCTTTTTTTAGACACAAGTAGCACATTTTAAATAACCGCAAAAACAACTTTGTTATTTATACAAACACTATGAAAAACAAAATAATTTGTTGCTGGCGATAATGATAGTGGTATTTTGACTCCATTTAAAATATATGCTTGTTACTACAGAACTCTTCATGGGCCTGCGAGTCCGACTCGCACTGAACCACTTTTTTTTCAACTTTTAGTTTTATTTTAAGGGGAAATATAACCTCAAATGGCTTAGCAAGATCCTCCGTTATGCCTTAAAGAAATTACCTAAACTATCGGCGCGTAAGCTTGGTTCCTGTCGCTCCGCAGGAACCAAGCTTACGCGCCGATAGTTTAGGTAATTTCTTTTTACAGTGAAAATAATGATATTTTAAAAAAAGTAAATAACATAAGCACTGCTTTATGGTTAGTTCAGTTAGTATGCAAAGTTTCATGATCTTATTTAAAGTATTTTATGAATAACAGCGGTTTATTGTTCAGTTTGGAGGTAACTTTGGATTTTTTTTCTATCGAGAAAATTTTACGGAATCGTGTTTTCGTCTAACATAAACCTTAACATTAATCCTCAACTTTACCATACATTTATTTCAAAATTAATGCTGCAATACTTTCGGCATAACGGAGGATCTTGCTAAGCCATTTGAGGTTATATTTCCCCTTAATAAATAGTTTTTTCGTTTAAGCGGAGCTCTTTTACTTTAGATTTATTACCTCCTTATCTATAATAATCAATCTGAGTAAGTAAAGTGTGTAAATACGATTCTTAAATTGTAAAAATAATAATTGGATTTGAACATCTTAGGTAGGTATTTAGTTTTATTAATTTAGAAAATATTAATCTCACAATTAATTATTGTAATAACATAAATGTATCACACAGCTAACGCCCTCATTAGCAATGTAAAAGTAAAATAAAGTTACACTATATACGTCCCACTGCTGGGCTCAGGCCTTCCCTCATTTCTGAGAGGGTTTAGGGCAAGGAAGTGTCCGCCGCGCTTCCCAAATGCGTGTTGACGAACTTCACATGTCTTCGAATTATTTTTTTTTCTCTTATTCCTCAGACATGCAGGTTTCCTCACGATGTTTTTTCCTTCACCGCCGAGCACTTAAAATTGCAATTAACAATTTCATTGGTGCCGGCGGGGATCGAACCCGGGTCACTCGCGTTCTGTTATATTTACAGCGAGCGTTAACCACTGAGCTACCACGGCTCAGTCTCATAACAATCTAGTGGTGAAAAAAATTCTCAAAGTTGGTCAAGTACTTTACGAGTTTAGCGAAAAAAATATTCTTTGATAGTAGCGCCCTCAATAATAAAATGCATCCTACGTTTTTAAGCACCATAGCAAAAAACGATTCAACATAGAATAACCCGCACACACAGTAAAAACATAACAATCCTTTTTCGTCTGTAGTCGAATAAACAACTGGTTAATAACGGTTGCGTATCGGCTGCTTTGGATAAATATGCATTGTCAACGGTTATTTTAAACCTATATCATAACATCGTAATAATTATCGAAAAATTATATAAGCATTGTGATAATGACACCATAAGTAATCGATGGAAAAGGGGAATCGATTTTTTTAATGAGAATTGTGATTGGCAACACTTTTTATTTTATTCACAAACTAATGAATTAATGATTTACCTAATTTTAATCTTATCTTTTCGGTACTTTTAATTTGTGCGAAAATATTACCATTGTTTTAGGATAAATGAATACCGCGATTAATAATCATAAATAAAGATATATTTTTTTAACAAATGCACATTGTTGGGCGTTCCATGGCCGAAAATGGGCGATCCCCTTTATGATGTAAGTAAATCAATCTAAATCTAATCAATATTACTTTGAGATCGACGAGAGATCGACGTCAATTTTATTTTTGACTAATTTTGTGACATAGTTTTCATCTTTCATTTTTATTATAGGTTTTAAGTCTTTTAAAAATATAATTATTGTTAAAGCTTACGAAGTAAATCATTATTTTTTTTATTTTTCCTTTTCAACCATAAAATCACTAATTTTAGTTATGACTGTTCATATTCATGTTTTTGTCCAATACGTTTCATATTCATAAGCAGATTAATAGTTTAACTTAATGTGCAAGTTAGGTTATTAGTTTGTTTTGCCGTTTAACACAGTTAATTTTATATTATAGATGCAAAGCTGCACAGAATTTACATTAATCACAGGTTTTTGTTTTCTTTAATAAAAATACAAAAACCAAGAAAATTTGTTTGATATTGGATTTTTAGCCTGGCGAATATGTTTGGAAAATCCAAAAGTGCACGCCTCATAATCTCATTTGATTATATAGAAAGAAAAATATCTCTATTTGTTTGATATTGGATTTTTAGCCTGGCGAATATGTTTGGAAAATCCAAAA